CTTGGAGCTGATCATGTTTTTCTTTGAACAAACTTTTGAGTGATTATTTAAATTAAGTGCATCTAACATTTAAGAAATAATGAATTTTCTCAAGAAATAAAGTTCTGCCTGGCCTGTGATCGTCAGTGAAAAAATTTAAGGCAGTTAAAGATTATTTCTATCTCATGAAAACCTTATTGCCATATTACAAATGAAGCACATTTCAGACCAATGTTTGTCACATTTATTTTTATCATAGAAACTTTCATTTAATAAAATTAGCAAGCAGGCATAAAAACAATACCAAACCTTGTTTTTTTTTAAATACCAGATGCAGTCAGCTTTTAGTCACCTTAGTTGTTCTGGACACTACCTTGCATAAAAGGTTCATTTCTGGCAAACTAGCCAATGCTCTAGAAGGAGGATTCAGTTATACTTAGAGTTGACATTAGGCACCTTTCACATTCACAAAATCATTTGGGAATAGGTAGGAGAATTACCCTTAAAGATAACATGCTATCTGAATAACAGAACTGCTTGTTTTTGGTTTTTGTAATAGTAGGGAGTATCTCTAAAATATTTCCGTCATCCACATATGTAAAATACTAATCATTTCATAAATGAAAGTCCATTTCTAACATTTGATATACTAATTAGCAAAGCCTTGGTTTTTGCTTGAGATATGGATTACAAAAACAATTTCTATAGCCATCTCTGGGTTGAATAGAATAATGAATAACTATTTTTGAAGTGTGATTGCCTTATGATAAATCTCAAAATCAGATGGTGAAGTAAGTCCTCCATCTTTGTTTTCTTGTGTTTTGTTTTTTTTCAAATATGTTTTAGCTCTTTTAGGTCTTTGCATTTCTATATGAATATCAGAATCAGTTTTTCAATTAAAAAAAAAAATACCTGATGAGATTTTCATTTAGATCATTAGGAATCTAAACATTAATTTGGAGAAAATTGATAGTTTAGCAATATTTTTTGATCCATAAACATAGTATACATCCATTTATGTAGGTATTCTTTCATTTCTCCCAGGTAAATTTTAAAGTTTTAAATGTATTCATTTACATGATTTTTGTTATATTTATCTTAAATTATTTAACATTTTTATGCTGATGCAAATTCTATTGAATTTTTATTCCAATTTCCAAGTGTACACTGGTATATAAAATATTTTTTTGTATGTCAACATTTTATCCCATAAAATAGTTTACACTACTAGAACTACTAAAGTAGTTATTTTAGCAGCTTTTTTGATGATTCCATAACATTTCTACATAGACTATTTTCTAATGATAAAGATAATTTTACTACTTTTACTCAATCTCAATGGCTTTTGTGTCTCCTTTTTTTGCATTTCGATATTAAATAACAGTTTTGAAAGATAATGTCTTAGGCTTTTTTCTTTTGTTTTTTTCATCTTTATTGAGGCATAATTAATAAATTTGTAAGATATTTAAAGTATACATTGTGAGATAAATGTATACTTAATTACATATATACACTAGAGGCCCAGTGCACAAAAATTTGTGCACTCGGGGGGAAGGGAAGGGGGGGGCCCTCAGCCTGGCCTGTGCCCTCTCGCAGTCTGGGACCCCTCAGAAGATAATGCCCTGTTGGCTTAGGCCTGCTCCCGGGTGGCAGAGGGCAGGCCCAATCCCTAGGTACAGCCCCTGGTCGGGCTCAGAGCAGGGCCGATTGGGGAGTTGGGGCGCCACCGCCTGTCATGCACAGAGTAGGGCGGATCGGGAGGTTGCGATGCCACCCCCAGTCACGCTCAGGGTAGGGCTGATTGGGGGGTTGGGGGATAGCCCCCTGTCACACTCAAGGCAAGGTCGATGGGGAGGTTGCAGTGCCATCCCCGTCACGCACAGAGCAGGGCCAATCAGGGGGTTGGGGTGCTGCCCCCATCACACACAGAGCAGGGCCCATCAGGGGGTTGGGGCTCCTTACCCTGTCACTCACGGAGCAGGGTCGATCAGGGGGTTGGGGCGCCGCCACTCTCACACACAGAGCAGGGCCGATGGGGAGGTTATGGCTCTACCCTGTCACACACAGAGCAGGGCCTGTGGGGTGGGGGGCGGGTTGGGGTGCTGCACCCTGTCACACACAGAGCAGGGCCGATCAGGGGGTTGGGGCGCTGCACCCTGTCACACACAGAGCCGCAGGGCAATCAGAGGTTGGGGAGCTCCCCCGTATCAGGCACAGAGCAGGGATGATCAGGAGGTTGGGGCACCTTCCCCTGTCACAAACAGAGCAGGGAGGATAGGGAGGTTGTGGCCCCGCCCGCTGTCACACACAGAGCTTCAGGGCGATCAGGGGGTTTGGGCGCTGTCCCATGTCACGCTGATCCCGGTGCCGGGAGGCATATTACCCTTTTACTATATAGGATAGAGGCCCGGTGCATGGGTGGGGCTGGCTGGTTTGCCCTGAAGGGTGTCCTGGATCAGGGTGGGGGTCCCCACTGGGGTACCTGGCCAGCCTGGGTGAGGGGATGATGGCTGTTTGCAGCTGGTCACACACCATTCAGGGTGGGGGTTCCCACTGGGATGCCTTGCCAGTCTGGGTGAGGGGCTGAGGGCTGTTTGCAGCTGGTCACACACCCTTCAGGGTGGGGGTCCCCACTGGGGTGCCTGGCCAGTCTGGGTGAGGGTCTGAGGGCTGTTTTCAGACTGGAGGGTGACGGAAGCTCCCAACCGCTCCTTTTTTTCTTTTTTTTCTTTTTTTTAAAATTCTGGGCCAGCTTTAGCTCTGAGGCTCCAGCTCTTATGCCTCTGCTGCTGAAAGTAGGTATCTGGTTTGTTTCGGTTCGAAACAATGTATAACTCCAGCTCTGACTCCAGCTCTGAGATCCCAGTTCTCTGAAAGCTGGTTTCTGGGTTTTTTTTAGCTTCTATATTTGTTAAAATGTTTCAAACTGCAGGCTCAGAGGCCTGCTAGGCATGTGGGGAACGTTGGAGTCCTCCGTCACTGAAGCAAGCAAGCCTCATGTTAGTTTCAAGCTGCCTGGCTGCCGGCCGCCATCTTGGCTGACAGTTAATTTGCATATCTCGCTGATTAGCCAATGGGAAGGGTAGCGGTCGTACGCCAATTACCATGTTTCTCTTTTATTAGATAGGATATGTATGTATATATCCTATCTAATAAAAGTGCAATATGCAAATTAACCATCACTCCGCCACAAAAGATGACGGTGTCCATAGCCACAAAATGGCAGCACCTAATTCCCTCAGCCTCGCTGGAGTCCCCCAGTCCTGGGGGGGCTGCCGCTTAGAGTGGGCAGTGTGAGCAGCCAGGTGGAATGCTTGCTTCATCACCACTGCAACGGAGTGCCTCTGGGCAGTGGTACGGAGCAGCCTGGGCGGGGCACAGTCCTGGAGAGGAGATGGTAGGCCCACCTCCCACTGAAGCAGCATGGCTCCCTCAAAGGAAACTTGGTCTTTGGTTCCTTAGTGTAGTCTAATCCGGCTAAAGAGGAGCAGCTGGGAACATTTCAGGGGAGAATTAATACTCTAAAACAGTGTGTTCTGTTCCATGGAGATTGCTACCCAGTTGTCTTGGGCCTAAATTCCGGGTGATTGTGGGGCCTGGTTCTACCACTAAGGCCTGTGTCTTCCAATTGGCCTGTATTTGTTGTAAGGGCCCAAAAAGAAGAAAGGGAACACTTTTTTTGATGCATGGATTTGACCAACAGACAAAGGCGAGTGCTGGTCTGTGTCTAATGTACACACAGAGACACCAGCTCTGAGTCTGCCTGGCCAAAGGGAGCTCAGGGTCTGTTTGCAGAGCCTTCTGGTGGTTTCTGTTTCCTTGCTAAGGCCATCTTTCCTGGGAAGCCTTGGGCCCATGCTCAGCTCCAGCTCAGTGGGTCTTCTCCAGGCCCCTCCCCCAGGCTAGCCTCACCCCTGATTGTCCTCCAACCCCTATCAGGGGCAGGATCAGCCACCAACCTCCCATGGCCCCTCCCCACTGGCTGGCCTAGCCCATTGGCCCCTATGGGTGTAGGCCAGACCTCACTTATTCACGAATTCATACACCAGGCCTCTAGTATACATATGTGTGTGTATGTATATATATATATATATTTAAAGAATTCCCTCATCTAGTTAATTAACATATCTATCACCCCACATAATTTCCTTCCTTCCTCCCTCCCTTCCTTCCTTCCTTCCTTCCTTCCTTCCTTCCTTCCTTCCTTCCTCCCTTGCCTTTCTGTGTTTTCCAGGGTATGTGTGAGATACAGTCTTATCAATTATCATTACCATATTTTACATTAGGCCCTCAGACTATATTCATTTGGGGCTTTTTTCTTAATATCAAGTAACAAGCATTCATTCTTTTCCAATTAAATATGATATTAGGTATTGATTTGTTATAGATATTCTATGAGACTGAGAAAATTGCTTTATTCTCAGATTTCTGAGATATTTTTAATATATTTTTATTGATTTCAGAGATGGGGAAGGAGAGGTCAATCATGAGAAAGAATCTTTGATCAGCTGCCTCCTGCACAGCCCCTACTGAAATTGAGCCCACAACCTAGGCAAGTGCCCCAAATCAAACCCTGACCTTCTGGTTCATGGGTCAATGTTCAACCATTGAGTCACACTGGCCAGGCACTGATATATTTTTAAAGAAATAGTTTTCTTTTGGTCAATTGCTCTTTCTGCCTCTAATGAGATGATCACATACTTTTCCACTTTTGTTTATTGAATAAACCAACCTTGCATTCCTAGAAAAATCCTCACTTATTTGAGTGTTTGTATCAATATAGTGTATTTTTAAATTCAGTTTGTTAAGATTTTATTTAACAATTTTGTATCCATGTTGATGAGGGATATTTGTTCTCTAGTTTACTTATAACGGGTTTTTTTGTTGTTGTTTTTGTTTTTTTGTTTTTTAGGTCCAGCAAATTTAATACACAAGTCTCAAAAGTCAATGGTAAGAACAAAGTGAGTAAAATAAAAACAGGGTTGGGGAAGAGTCATGGGCACACATAGGGAGGGGCAATAAGTGGGCAAGGTAGTTGGAGCAAGAGGATGTCCTTCCTTGGGCATTACATCTCATCCAACCGGTAGTCCTCCTCAGGGAAATCCCTCACGGTCACAACTGACGGCTTGAAGAAGGCACCGTACTTGGCCTGGCATTCGAAGTAGCGTTTCCCATTCACACTGCCATCGTTTTTCCCTAGTGGCTCATCGAAGTGTATACCAATCCAGTAGCCAGGCTTGAAATCTGTGAGTCCTACATACATGATGGTCCCCGGCGAGGGGGCTGCCCAGGTGCCCGCACTTCACAACGACTACCCACAAGGATGGCACTTGCCTGGGCCTTCTCCTCCGTGAGGCGCTGGGTGGTCTCAGCCTCTTGTTGTGCCCGCTCCTCTTCATTGTATCGGCCTAACTTGCTGCGCTTCAGGAAGGAGTGGACTGAGACTTGCCTCTGGTCATAGGCTTCCTGTGAGATCCTGTATTTCTCCACCTTGGACACATCCTCATATTCCCCAAGGCTGGCACCGCTGTGGTCAATCACATGGATGCGGCAGCCGTCATCTACGGGGTAGGAGCCCAGTAGGGCATCCTCCTGATCCAGCTTGCTGCAGAACTTCTCGTCAGCTCCATAAAGTTCCAGTTCCATGCAAGACGCAGGGCTGCCCACCACCAGCTCTAGTTTACACTTGAATTCAGCTGTGGTGAGGCTGTGACTGTACCGCTTCTCCGAGCGAAAGCTGTTGAGAGAGCTGCTGATGAAAACGGTCACAGTGGGCGCTGATAACCCCGTCACCTCCATCTTGCGCTCTGGGGGTGGGGGTGTGTGTGGGGAGGGGGGAGTCTGCAGCCCCGTCAGCCACCTCACGCCCTACTTATAACGTTTTTGTCTTGTTTTGGTATTAGGTTAATTCTGGTCTCAAAGAATTGATACAGAAAGTATTCCATCCTTTGCAATTTTCTGCAATAGTTTCTTTACAATTATGTCTTTTTCTTCCTCTACCATGTTTACTCTATGGTACTTGCCAAAGATGAATCCTTGATATTAATTTATATCCCTCAATAGAAATCATGCCTCTTTTCTTATCATTACATATTCAGAGGCTAAAAGAATTATGGCTGCCTAGTAGCAGCCCAGGAAATATTTATTGATTTTATAAAATACCCCAAGAACAAAATGAGCAATAAAATAAAATTTAGTCTTATTATATTCTTTGCTATTGATTTAGAAAATGTTATCTCCTTAATATTTATTCAAAATTGTTATTATTAATAATTTTCTTTTGTTATTGAAGTCAATATTTATCAATTACCAATTACATGCCAAATATGCTCTGTCAACCTGGCATTTTCCTGAAAATTCTATATATTGGCCATATGTATATATAAACTGTTGGCAAGGATGTAAAGCAACTGAATTTTCTTACATTGCTATTTTGAATTTAAAATGTTAAAAATCACCCTATCTGGTTTGGCTCAGTGGATAGAGCGTGGCCTGTGGACTGAAGGGTCCCGGGTTCGATTCTGGTCAAGGGCACATGCCCAGGTTGCAGGCTCGATCCCTAGTTGGGGGTGTGCAGGAGGCAGCCAATCAATGATTGTTTCTCATCATTGTTGCTTCTATCTCTCTTTCCCTCTCTCTCCCTCTCTGAAATAAATATATATATATATATATATATATATATATATATATATATATATATATATATATATTTTAAAATAAATAAATAAAATAAAATGTTAAAATCACTGTGAAAACACTTTGGCAGTTTCTTAAAATATAAACTTATACCTATCATACTATTCAGCCATTCCAATCCTAGATATTTACTGTTAAAATCAAAGCTTATCTTCTTACAAAAACATATCCTCAAGTATTAATAGCAATTTTATTTTTAGTAAACATTCCTTAACAGTGAATGGATAAGCAAATTGTAGTTTATCCATATGATGAAATACAATTCAGCAATAAAGAGGAATGAACTATTGACACATGGAACAGCATGAATAATATCAAAATAATTTTGCTGAATTAAAAAAGCAATTAAAAAAGAATAATAGTTATGATTCAATTTATATAAAATTCTAGAAAATATAAACAAATGTGTAGTGACAGAACACAGATCAGCAATTGTCTATAGATAGGGGTAGATAAGAAGGTAATGGAGGGGGGTATTAAAAAGGGACCTGAGGGCCGAAACCGGTTTGGCTCAGTGGATAGAGCGTCGGCCTGCGGACTGAAAGGTCCCAGGTTCGATTCCGGTCAAGGGCAGGTACCTGGGTTGCGGGCACATCCCCAGTAGGAGATGTGCAGGAGGCAGCTGATCGATGTTTCTCTCCCATCGATGTTTCTAACTCTCTATCTCTCTCCCTTCCTCTCTGTAAAAAATCAATAAAATATATTAAAAAAAAAAAAAAAAAGAAAGGGACCTGAGGAATAGTTGGGAGCATTAGGTATATTCACTATCTTGAATTCGTTAATGGTTTTATGAGTATACACATATGCAAGAATTCATGAAATTGAATTTTTACACAACTTATAGCTCAATTAAACTGAGAAAAATATTTTGACTAAAAAATACGTTTTCTTTTTTTCTGATTTAATCTTTACTAATAGAGAATCATTGCTCTCAAATAAGTTAAGTTCTAGTAGGAGTCAGAAATGTAAAAAGTTATTGCAGTGAAAAAATATGCAATCAAACCAACATTATAGAAAGGCCCTTCTGCCAACTAAATGGAAGACAGATTGCAGGAGGTACAGAGTGTCAACAGGGAGACTCCCTAAAACATTCTGATAGTAATTAAGGGGAGTGACAATAAAAGCCAGGAAAATGGAAATGAGGCAATTTAACAGGCACTAGTATTAAGGTAAAAAACAGTATGGTCAAAAGGAAAATTGAGGCTTTGCTGATTTTTGACTGGATAAAACTGTGAAGTGAATGAGAAAGTGCAATAAAAACATTTCTGGTGATTTTAAGTTCGATGTCTTGGAAAAATAAAGAACAGTGTACTATTTACCTGGGAAAATTAACTGCATTACTGTTATGCTGCATTTATGACTTAAAATCTAAAAACCCAACCATGGTGACAAGTCTCAATTATTGCTCTAAAAGTAATATATCTCCCTGTTTTTGTGTGTCCAGGTTCCTAGGAATCACCTTTTACTAAAGATAGGTACTTATTTTAGCCTGGAAAACCTCATCTATGCAAAGTTCAAGCCTAGAGGTTGAGCTCCTGCCCTTCTGTCTCCATGGCCTGGAGTCCTATTCCTACAGGATGGCAGATCATGGCAGATAATGGTTCAGGAAAATGTGCAAAGAGAAATTGCTTTTCACTTTTATAATTAGAATTTCTTCATGTGAGTAGCCAAACAGAGAATGTTATGAGCAGAATTTAAACTGCAAAACCGAAAAAGCTAATGGATCTTTCAATAAGTTTACAGAGTTAGTTGGGAGAGTTTGAGAGGTGCTATCAAGATTGTGAAAGGGATTTGGGGGGCTGCCTTTGTAATAATATAGGAGATCTAGACATCCAAATGAATAAAGTGATTTGAATTATGGAAAAAAAAGTTACTGAAAATGTATGAGACACTTAAGATAATTGAAGGAACAAAAATTTTCCTCAGTTTAGACAAATGTAAAAAAAGATATAGATGATAAAGCAGAGGGATTCTGAGATGGAGTGAAGAGAAGTTGCAGTGACTCATTTTAAGTGTTTTCAATCTTAAGTAGGAGTCAAGGTCATCCAGCTGTGTCTTGTTCTACGGAAATGTGCTGAACAGCTGAGAACACAAATCTAAACAGTATTACATTAATGGGGGTAAGGTTCTGCATTTTAGTTAACAAAGCCTCTTGTGCCAATCTGATCTCAACAGCAATCTATCTGAAAAAAAAATGTGTTTGGGTTGACTGCCAGATCAATACAAGCCAAAAAGATGACATGGCAGCTAATACAACACTGAGCACAATAACACAAGTCAAGAGTCCAGATAAAGAGGGTGATCATCTCACTGAACTCATCATTGTTCATGCCACACTGAAAGTTTATGTTTTGTGCAGGGCTCTGCAATTTAGTCAAGGTTCTTTTTTTTCTTACAGTCACAATAATATGCTCTTTGGAAAATGCATAAAAATAAAAAAATAAAAAACTTGCATAGTTTCACCAACCTTAGATGATTACTAATAGCCAATGTTTTATAGTCCTTTTTTAATGCACACAATAATGCAAAAGTATGATAAATCAAAATTTTATTCTGAACTGAACACCCTATTATTAATCAACATTAAGCATTGATTTATTCAGCTGACTCTGCAATCATTTTCTCCATTTCATTTGGAACTTTTCCAGAAATATTGGGTGAATATTTCCTTTACAGAAATCCAAAATTATGTACTAAAGGACATTTATTTCAAAATAGTGTGTCTTAGAAGAAAATCCAGGTCTATAACTCCTAGAAGGCAAAAAGTTGCTACCATTTTTAAGTGAGAATATTTCCACTTTCATTAGTCAAATTTTGAAAAAAAATGTTTAGAATTCAGTTTTATCAAGGATATTGACATATATGTAGATATGTGTATCTATTTATATAAAGATCTTAAAATTTATACAGTTTCATGATTACAATACTATGGTTTAATCATTAATGTAAGATTCCAATTATAAAAATACCACACAAATGTATTACATATGTATGCACAACTTTAAGGCACAATTTCAAAAATTAATGTATGATTACCACAAACCAGTTGGAAATAGAACATTGCCAATCCCTTTGAAGCCCCTTTACACCTTGCACTGGTCATATTCTCCTTTGTCATCCAAAGAAAACCACTGTTATGAATTATTCTCTGGTTTTCTTTTTGGTTTTGCCACAAAAATATAACCCTAAATAATATACTTTTAAAGTTTTACATTTTAAATATATGATAATTCTTGTTTGACTTTTATTTAAGGGACATAAAATCTGTACAGCAATTTTGGAAAAATTGACATCTTTTCATTATTGAATCCCCTTTCTATGAAGATAGCTTAGTTTTTCTTTAATGTTTTTTTCTCTAAAGTTTATATATCAAAATGTAAAAAATTGTGTCTTTTTAATATTCTCTTCCAATAGGCAGGATAAACAATTTTTATTTATGATTTAAATTTTATTTAAATCAGATTATTGATAACATCTTATCATCAATATAATATCACTATAATGTTTAATAATGACCCTCTACATTCTTTACATTTTCTTTTTTTAATCAGCCTCACAAGATGTTTATCAATTTTATGGATCTTTCAAATAAACATTTTATTCTGCTAATACTATCTTATATGTATATTCTATTTCATTTCTGTTCTTATGCTTATTTTCTTTCTATTTACTTTGCATTTATTTTAATTTTCTACTTTGTTGAGGTGGGTGCTTATTCATTTTCCATCTTTTTACTTTTTAACTAGAGGCCCAGTGCATGAAAATTCATGCACTCAGGGGTTCCCTCAACCCAGCCTGCACCCTCTCACAGTTTGGGAGCCCTCAGGAGATGTCTGACTCATGACTTAGGCCTGGTCCTCACCGGGAGTGGGCCTAAGCCACAGTCTGGCCTCCCACTGGTGACCAGGCAGGCTGATTAGGGGACAATGCTGGCTGGTGAGTGGCTGATCCTGCCACCCCTACCCCCACCCCCCCGATCACCCCTCTGCCACTACTGGTCGCCACTGCTCCCCGATTGCCGTCCTCTTCCTTTGCCCACTGGCACGTGCCTTGGCTGGCCTGACACCACCCGCTCACCAGCCCTGCCCCACACTGACCAGTTGTTCTGCTGTTTGTTCAAT